GGTTTTTCGAGACAGGGTTTCTCTGTGTAGCTTTGCGCCTTTCCTGGTACTCGCTTTGGAGACCAGGCTGGCCTCGAACTCACAGAGATCCTCCTGCCTCTGCCTCCCGAGTGCTGGGATTAAAGGCATGCGCCACCACCGCCCGGTATTCCCTTCTTACACACAGGTGCTATTTATGGTAACTCTAAAATGATCTGCTTCTGATTTACTGCTTTTCTGTGGCTCATAAGCTATAACGTGGTTTACTTATAAGGCCCTGTATCAGAAATGTAAATAAGTAGATTATCATCCTCCATTATGCTTAAGTTATAGAGAAAGTCCAAAATGTTTCAAATATTGTCACTTACCATTAATTCCTGGAACATGACCCTCCCTCTAAGACTCACATCACTGTGTCCTGGGTTAATAGTTTGTGCACTACTTTCTCCCAGGAGTGATTCTGCCTGCATAGCACTAATTGTTCTTTGTAGTGGGTAGCTGCTTGAAAACTGACGCCTCTGATGAGTGCTCCTGTCACTGTGGGAGTGGACGATAGAAACCATCTTAGCCCATCTTACAGAAATTTAGCCTGAAGTTGCTTTGAGATGCTTTTCCTCAGCCATCCCAGTTTTGAAATTCATGAAAACATTTTTGTCTTTCATATCTCAACAATTTTTCTTTCATTTATGCAAGGTATGAATAGTTCCCAGACACATGATATCATCGAAATGATGCCTGTCCTTTCATTCAGTCACTGGTCAGTGGCTAGTGAATGGCTAAAATGCTGCTAAATTTTATCACGTAGATTCTCAGTCACTGATAATGAGGAGATTGTGACTTCCATGGAAGGATGTACAATTTTGACCATCTACAACTTTGAGCAGAGAGAGAGAGAGAACTTTCTGAAATTATTACCATCATAAACTCCTGATAGGTCCTGTCAAAGGAAAATACATCTGTACTCTGTTGTTGCTACATACTGTCAAGACAAAGGCACAGAGAAATGCCACAAGCCATATTTTTTTTTTAACTTCTACAACTACAGAAAATTAAAAAAAAAAAATACCTCTTTTCAGTTGTTTGGGGTATTGGGGTGACTTAGCATTCATCAAGTGGCTGGATACAAAATTTGTTTTCTGGGAATAACCCAACCAAACCCCTGGCCACAGATGACCAGCCACCTGCCTGAGGTATGGGACCCTCCCATGTCCTATGTGTTGGGAAAAGGGTTTTATTTTGTTGTTTTGTTTTACATCTTTTAACAATTTTAAGGAATTTTAACAGGACCTTCAACAAAAAAGGTTTCCTTAGTTAAGGCCCTTTTGGATCCTCACTTATATGTCTTGTATATAATATATAAAATCTTGTACACCATCGAGGTGCCTGTAACTGAAACTAGTCCCAATTATCAGTTTATTGCACCTGACTTTTCCATAAGGTATTTAAATTAATATGATAAAAAATCTGCTCTCAATGTTTATTCTTTTATCTCTAATTGGTGCTATTGAAGCCATCAAATTAATTCACATTTCCTAAGTATTATATAGGTTTGATATCCCTAATCCAAATATCCAAATCCTAGAATTTTTCAAAATTGGAAACATTTTAAGCATTGACATGACATTGTAAGTTTAAAATTCCACACCTGACTTTATGTGTGATTTAAAAAAAAAAAAAAAAACCAAACCTCAGGAACTGGAGAAATGGTTCAGTGGTTAAGAGCACTGGCTGCTCTTACAGAGGACCCTGGTTCAATTCCCAGCACCCACATGGCAGCTCACCTATAATAGGATCTGATGCCCGCTTCTGGTGTGCAGACATACAGCCAGACAAAGTACCCATATACCTAAAATATATAAATTTAAAAAAAAACCTCAAGGGCACTGATTATGTTTTATAAAATTACCTTCAGACTATATGTATAAATTGTCTATTAAAATAAACTAATTTTATATTTAGACTTGAGACCCATCCCTCCCAAAAGATATGTCATATGTATTCATGAACATCCCACATCCAAAACTGTGTGAAGTTTGAAATACTTCTGCCCCTAAGAAATTGGATAAGGGATACTCAACTGTACTAAAAAACCTTAGTGTTTAGTAAAAAATATTGTTTTTTACATCCATTATTATAACACATCAAAGTTGATTTAGGAAAAGAAAAAAAATATTTGTAGGTTGTTCAACAGAGTTATGTAAAAGCTCTGAAGTACTGGTCCATTCTGTGCTTTATACTTGTTTAAATGTCCAATTCAAAGGGTCCTTAATATGTGGCTGGTCACAAAATAAGAGAATTTGTCTAATAGCTTAAATAAATATTTGAGTATAATCCTTATAATTGAATATTTATTGATTTTAGGACTTATGTGATAAGACTTTTAAATAAATTAGCTTTCTTCTGGATCATTTGAAAGCATAATAATCTTAGAGTGAGGTCATAAATATACACCCACTCACCTGCTGTGTTCCATACTTACATAACTGAAGTTTATTTTGTTTTTAAAAAAAAAGTAAAAAAGTTTGTAAGTTATGAGTCTCTATGTCTGTGCATATGCATGTCTGTATGTACTTATCTGTATTGTTATTTTAACTAAATATTCTTACTAATGTTTTATCTCATTTGCATGCATTATTCAGTTTGCATCATGCTCAATGGACTATGAACTGAGGACTATGTTAAGATAGTCCTGAGTTCAACTTCTATGATCTCAGCTGATTCAACTCAGTCACAACATGTGTCCTCTGGCTACCTACTAGGTCATCAATGCCAAGTTGCATGTTTTAACAACTACAAAAGAAGCACATGCGTGGCTGTCTCAAGGAGAAGCTTCAGGTAGCATTAGACATAGAAAATATTCAGCTGTAAACAAGTAACCCAGTTAATTAGAAATCAGAATGCCAAGTAAAGTTGAAGTAGGGAGAAGCCAGGGTTTTAACATCTTTACAATGCTTTAACCAGGTATGTGATTGCTAGAATAGGTCATTTCATGACTCATAAGTCCAACCATTGCCTTCTGTGTTAGTCACCTTGTTTTGGAAACACGGATTCATTAGAGGGTGTTCTGACTGAGTTGTGAACCAGCCCCTCCCCTCCTGTCAGAGAGCATTCATTTCAAGTCCACCAAGCAAAACAATGTGAGGGAGTTGTGACTACTTAAGGCCAGGTTGTGAGAGCTCAGTCATCCTCCCCCATTTGCTCCGCAGTGACCCCTGTTGGTGGCACCTCTAAAGGCAGAGTGGTGTGCCCGCTGGCTGGCTGGCTGCTCTCACTTTTCTTAACCATTTCCCATGCCCTCTGATAATATAAAAGAATAACAAATAAAGGATAAGATGGAGAAAACTGAAAATAAAAAAGTACTTTGGCCCTCTGACAGCAGTTTTCAAGATAAATAAAAGCCTTGTCGTTGATTACTGACCTGTCGTTGGAAACGCCTGCTGTCATTTAAAGGGGTGACGTTTGCAGGGAACCATGTGCTATAACAGGGCCCATGTGCTTTTCTCAGAGCCAGATAACCATCAATGGCAACTCTGGTGGCGCTGTGAGTCCAGTGAGTTACTATCAAAGGCCGTTTTCCCCTTCCGCATACTCCCTTCCAGCCTCACTCCACTCCAGCATTATCATGCAGCATGGCAGATCGCTGGGTAAGTACCGCAGTCACGATTTCCACGACCGCTTTCATGTGACAACTATCTACCGCAAGAGAAAAATATAAGGTAGCAAAGTTGAGGCAGGAGTGACCAACACCACTCTCTGGCGACCCTAAGGTGGGAAGAAGGGCACACACATTGTAGAAAAGAGGTCCCTTGCTATTTGGAGGTAATAATTCCATCTGTGGCTAAGCCTGGAAAATGCTAGTTGACATTTAAGTGATGGGGTAGAAAGAACGAAAAAATGCCTAGTGAGAGAACGGGGAGCTTTAGGACCCAGAAAACATTAATGGAGCACTTTTCTATTGAGGTGGCTCGTTCCTTCATGGAAGAACTTTCGTTCTAGAATGTTCTTTAGTTAGGCTGTAAAAAAAATTGTTTGACAATGAAAACAGTGTGAGATGGGATAGGGTACAGTAACACCATGAAGTCCTGGATCACACTGTCATAAACTATCAAACTGAGGTTTGAAGGCCATCAGTCCACATTGGGGCAGCGGGAAGCAAGGGAGAACTCTCTTCAGTGAAGATTCTACAATTTATAGAGACAAGTTCTTGACCCTTTGGAAATTAAGAATTAAGCAAAGACATATAGCCCTTGTTTCTGGGAAGATTGCTCAGTGGTTAAGGTCATTGGTTGCTCTTCCAGAAGACCTAGGCTCAATTCCCAACACCCAAATGATGATTCACAACCATCTGTGCCTCCAGTTCCAAGGGATCTGACACCCTCTTCTGACCTCTGAGGACACCGAGCATACATGTGGTATACATACATACACATAAACAAAGCACTCTTCCATAAAATAAAATATATAAATTTAATTAAAAATTTTTGTTATAGTCCTCCAATAAAAAATGATTATTTCCTAAATAATCATTAAGTGTGACTCTTTGTCCCATTGCTTGTTTCGTGAACACAGTTTTCCCCATTCTACCAATTAAAAAAATATAAATATCCAAGTATAGATTGGCCTTGATTTTAGACCTAACATATAGATTTTACATGTTTTTATATAAACAATAAACATATAAAAGTTCATTTCAAAACTTTAAGCATATAATTTTGTGGGTCTTGTGAACACTTTAGAGACTCCTGGAAAAGTCCTGAGCTATACAAAGATAGAAACATTCTTATGTAGCAAAATATATTAGCATAGTTTAAAAATAATGTAACAACTATTTCTTTGTTGCTAAAAATTCAATGTAAAAATTCCAAAAAGTTGCATGAAAAATGTTACCTAATTGAACCATTATGTGAAGTTGGGTTGAAAATGTTTCCATGATATTGAGAACCTAGAAAGTTTTCAGAACTCCAGAGCAGAAAGGATGCTAAGGAGAGCATACCTACACAAACCCCTCAAAAAGAGAGATGACCCATCTTGCAGCCACTACAGGTCAGCAACGGAGAGAAAAATCTAGAACACAGAACTGTGCGCCATTCCGTAGTTGGTAGTAGACCCCTTGCCTCCTTCTTCGTACATTGACTCTGAACTGAACAAATACGCCACGAGTTTACTAAAGAACGCTTTCTGTGGATCTCAAGCCCACTCATGGTAGAACTCAGCTTCTATGGTCAACAAAACTTCTATAAGATTTTAAATATAGTCATGGGACTCGTTAAAGAGGAGTCTAGATATACTTGTGCCTTTTCTAATGCTACTCCTGGGAGCCATTTGTGAAGCTTGTAATGATCTCCTTTTAAAGTGTAAGAAAGAAGAGCTTGCTTGTGCCAAATTTCTCTCTTTGACAACCAGTCCACAGCTCAGTTTTATAAGAGACTCCACTATTTCAAGATTTTGTAATGTAACTATGCTTTATTATACATGAAAATGCAACTTCCTAAATTATTTCAGCCATAACATTTTACTAAATAATCATTAAATAGACTCTTTATCCCATTGCCTGTCTTAGTGAACAGTTTTCCCCATTTTGTATAAATATTCAAATAGAGGCAGGCTTTGACTTTAGACCTAACCAGTGAGTAGATTTTACACATAAACTGTTTAACATGGAAAGAAATTTCCTGTATAAACATTGAACAAATTCCAGCTGGCCAAGGCAATGATGAGAGTGGAATTTACAGTTCTACTCTGCCCTAGGTGAACTTTAGATTTCATCAAAGACAAAGGCTTGCAAACCTAACAGTTTGTGGGCCATATAAGAGAAATATAAAAAGATCTGGCTTTCATTGCACATGCTGTGTGTTTGTACCGTCCCATGAACTCTGCATGAAGACAGACTTGATGCTGTTTCTTAGGCTAGGACTGTGGCACATCCTATCTGTTCAGAAAACCTTGGTTGCTGACAAAAGTCTAGCATTGTGGCTATCACATCAAGGGCTTTGAGGAATTAAAAAGTCAACCAGAGTGAAATAACACACTGTGACTTCATTTAGAATAGCTTGGGTACACAGGATTTGTATGACTAATCAATGACACATGAAGTAATTCCATTTCCAGACTCATCCATTCAATTCAAAAATGCCTCAAAATGCTTTTCTGTTGCAAACTAAGTTGGAAATGGCCTTAATTATAACAGTTACAATGATACAATGGATATCAGCCTAGAGAGAACATAATGCTAAGTACCTATGTGAAAATAAGTCAAAGTCTTAAAATGCTTATTTATAATGCTTTACACAACATCCTCATAAAAAAAATACATGTATATGTATGGTATAAAAGTTCATTATACTATCTATACATGATATAAATTTTAATTATAAATTATGTATGTGTATGAAAATGAACCCTACACACACCTATGAATATATAAATATAATCAACAAATATATATATATATATATATAAATATAATCAACAAATCAACATAAGAATTTTTAAGCTTCCACAGAAAAGAGCCCAGAGACAGACGAGCTAAAGCAGGTCACACAGAGCCTAAATGAAGACTCAGTTCTGCTCACCAAGTTCTGAAATTTCAAACAGCAGAAGTCATATCACTTTTGTATGATGTGACTGAAATTATTCCAGAGGTTCATAACATTAACATGAAGATGGAAATTTAATAAGCCTCCTGTAACTTTAGTCCTTAAGACAATTAATTGTCAGTCTCAAGATAAAAAGCTATGGTATGGGTGTTTTTACCATAAAACCAACAATATTAAATAAAATTCAATAAATTGTAATCACTGAAAAGCACTTATTTACCCACAAGCCTTCAGTTGCTAGTGTATATCTTGATCTAAAAAAAAAAATTAACTGACTTTCATTTTCCATTTATTTTTACGGAATCGTTTCTTTGGATAAATAATCCTAGTGCCTCGCTGAAATAACCTCTCACTACTCCCTCAAAAGGCAGTCAGCAGCTTCACAAGAATCATGTGTGACTAACGACCTGAGTAAAGTTACTAGGTTTCTTTCAGCTTCTGCCCCCTCATCTATAAAGGTGACTTTTGTCCGTCCGTCTCCCCCCACCCATCCCGTCCCGCTAAGATTTCTTCTCAACATGGCTGCACTCATCATTCAGCAAATATTCTTCCTCTCACCCTTCGCTGTAAAATGGTGAGGGCTTGATCCATACATATATGTAATACCCACTTCTGAAGGAGATGGGGTAAATACGCGAAAAGGCACAGAGGTAGAAATGTGGATCTTATGATGGTTGGCAATCAAGGTACAAGAGGCACCATTAATTTATAGTCTGTGCATCCGGTGTGTTCCATGTCACTGTATGTTCCACACAGATTCTGCAGAGGCATATTCCCAGCATGCCCAGTCTCTGGATGGCACCATGGGAGGCTCCATCCCACTCTACAGATCCTCAGAGGAAGAGAAGAGGGTAACAGTGATCAAAGCCCCTCATTACCCGGGAATCGGCCCTGTGGACGAGTCCGGCATCCCCACGGCCATTAGGACGGTAAGCCATGCTAGCATGTGCATCTTTCTGGGTCTGCACATGAGCACCACAAAGGATGGATTGTGCACGCTGCTGTGCATTCCTGGGGTCTTATATCATGAAGACTGTCCTCTGAGCCTTCGGCGCTCCCATGAATACCACGCTGTGTGGCAGAGGAAGAAAATCAGGGAGCAAAGACAGCTACGCAAGCTTGTCTCTCCGTTTGAATGTAAAATCATGAAAATGTGGGTTTGTTAAATAATAACACTCTGTTCTTAACTTTCTATCAAGGAGAGGTAAAGCCTAGAGAGAAAAAGGGGGGAAGGGGGTGAAGTGAGTGAGTCCTTTCACAGCATCCAATTCCCACATGCACTGTAAAAAAGGCAAGTGATTTGTTTCTTGAAATGGATGTGAGTTCACACCAGGGGATGGGAAACTGTGAACTGGGACTTGGGAGGTGAGATGACTGTAGAGAAGGGAGGTAATATCATGGGAAGGAAAAGCTGTCTGTGGAAAAAAAAAGGGGGGGGGAGCATTTGCTAGTCCCTCTCAGCTGAGCCTTGCTGAGAGCTCCCTGGATGCTAAGTCCAAGTGTTGAGGGCATTTTTTTTTTAAGTCTTTAAACTCTGCCAAAGCGTTACTCAGTGTGCCGGGGCAGCCCTTTCTGGCAACGCTCCGCAGCAGCAGCAGCAGCAGCAGCAGAGCCTAGGCAGGCAGCTGTGTGCTGACCACATCCACTGCCAGAGGAGGTCTGTGGTAGCAGAGGAGGAAGACCGGGAAGCCAGGATGCGAGCCACGGCGTCTTTACAGGTGAATTTGGTGGGGGTGAGAGGAGGGAGCTCTAGCTGGATGGACGTGGCCTGTGTACCCTCACCAAGGACTGAGAAGACACTGCCAAGAGCAGCTTCCCCTGAATGGAAACACAGGGAGCCAGGGACAGTGAGGGACCCGGCAAAAGAATGCGAAGTGGTGAGACAGGAAAGCTTTGAAAACAATCGAAGACCAAGTAGGAGTCGTCTTTGAGTTTGCAGTGATCATGTTTTACATACAGACGTGAGTTCAGCATTGATTATTCTTGGCATTGGCATTGTAGCTGAAGCCAAAAAAAGTATATCCGTATAGCATGCGCTTGGGATTTAGACTTCTCAGATTGTTAAGGATGTTGCATGTAACTGATAAAGCTTGAAAAGTCTGTGTTGGAATGATGATGGTCGTATTTAAGTGACAGGAAAAATCCCAGGGCTTGTGACTAAGCCGCTCCGTTTTATGACAGCTGTATGTTTCTGATGGCAGAGTTTTGACAGTGTTTGCCTTCCAGAATTTCTGACTCAAAATGACTAAAATTGAATTTTCCCATGCTAATGATGGGCTAATGACTCAGACAGGGATGGTGTCATGGATTTTGCCTGTTAGTCCTTGAGACACAGTATACACAAAACCTAAGAGCTCATTGCTTTCTGTGTGTGCAATTGCAGACCCTGTCTGAAAGATTTCATCTGAAAACCGATAGATGTGTTTTTAAGTTAGTAAATGATGTGTAAAAATGGACATGTTAGTTAATGTGACCCATTCTTTTTAACCTACAGATTTTTTTAATCTGTAATGTTTGACTTGCAAGTCTTTGCTTTGTTAAGTTTTTGAGGAAAAATCTAAGATGTTGGAGATGATAAATAAAACTCAATTAATATTAAAAGTTTATATTGTCTTCTGCTAAATGAAAAGCATGCCAAAGGATAAGCAATCACATATATCCACTAAGCGTGTGATGCTAATTTCCCTTATAAGAAATTGAAAGTGAATTATTAGCCACTGCAGAAGTTCCTTAAAAGGAACCCTGGTTTTTTCCATGTAACTTGCTCGGACCTTTAAAACTTTATAAGAGGGATCCTGTTCATGTTTACTACTTTGCAGCCTTACGAATCACACATCCAAGTATAGACCTGTATTTATAAATGTTGAATCCTGCCATCCCCTGGGCCAAGAATATCCAAGATTATTTCCTTTCCTCATTTGTGTAGAAGGTAATGATTATCAGACTCAACTTGCCTCAGCTTCCTGCTCAGTATGTACATTAAAACCAGCACTGTCTCAAATGTGCCATTTGAGACACAGAAAGTTTTGCCAAGTGCCTCTTCTCCTGTGACTGGGATGTCTACATCAGCCTTTTACTGCCATATTCTTAAAAACAGTAACAAGAATCTCCAGGGCTCAGAGCCCAAGAGACTGGGTAAGAAACCTGGCTAGTCAAGTGACATGCAGTATTTCTTTCTTATAATCCAAATATAACAGTTGTCTGGCTATTTTAGAGCTATCGGGGCAAAAGTAGAATAGGATTGTTGTGTTATATGTAGAAAATATGTCTGTTTTTTAATGTCTGCATGTTAAATTAGTATACAGTGCTGATGTTTCATGACTAGAAGAAGATGAAAGTCGAAGCCTATTCTGATAAGGCCATGGATGATAGCTGCATAGTAGAGTCCCAGGAGTTAGGTAGTCTTACACAAAATGCTTTTGAAGGACACATCCAAAGGTAAACTTCCCGAATTGTGGACTTCTGCATTCATAATCTCAGTGTGAGACGTGACATGCTCCAACACGGCATTGGCTAAAGGAAAGAAAGGGCTCACAGCCCTTCTTTCAGAAAGGCACACTGAGGTTGCAAGTCTCTGCTTCGCCAGCTTCCGAATGGCTCTGCCAGCTGACCGGGCATCTCCTGGCTTCTCTGTACTCACCATATAAAGCTAACAGATGGCATAACTGTGAGATCCTGCCTGATATAGGCCCTCTGGCAAGTGTAGACAACAATGTTGTCTGTCATGGTGCCTGGCCATATACAGCGACACAACTTCCTTTTTCGGCCTCCCTGTCCTCATTGGCTGTGTCCAGGTACAGTGAGAAAACTGTTTTTACACACGGCTGTGTGTTACTTTTGTTGCTGCTGCTCTAGTAGCATAAAGGTAGAATAGGAACAAAGCGTAGTGAAAGAGAAAACCGCCTTCAGAAAAATAAATGGTCCCTAAAGATATATGTTCAAGTATTGTGTGTGTGTACATGTTTGTGTGTGTGTGCATGTATGTGGACATGGAGAGGCTAGGGGTCAAACCTGGGTATACTCCTCAATGGCTGTCCGGGCTTTCTCATCAAAGCTAAGCTGTTTCTGCATCCTTAGTGCTGGTGTTACAGGGGCCCACTACCCATGCCCAGCTTTTTACACAGGCGCCAGAAATAGGAACCCAGGTTGTCATACGCACATGGCAGGCACCTTACTGACTTCAGCCCCAACCCTCATGTTCCAGTATTCTGTTTGAGCCAGCAAGCAGCAGATTCCTGCCTCTTTGTAGATAACCCCCGACACCAGTTCCCATCATTTGGCCATACAGTTAATCAACGACACCCTCAAGCCCCCATTGCAGAAGAAGCCTACGATGCATATGTGGTTCCCACATCTCTAGTGACTGTCAGAATTGTCTACTTCCAGAGTCAAAATAAATGTAAATACTGCCTAACAGTTTCTAGGTGAAAAATTCAATGGCCACATACATAAAAATCGGAGTATAAAATATCATACAGTTTCCACTCTTACAAGTCCTAACCATTGGTTTTTTTTTATTCTGCTCTCATACATTACATCCAGACCCAACCACAGTTTCCCCTCCCCCAACAGAGCCCCCGACCCCAGGATTTCTCCTAGGAAAAGAGCAGACTTCCCAGAGACACTGACCAAACACACTATAACCTAACCAATCTTTTAAATCAGGGCAATGACCTCAGAAAATCTGATGCTTTTTAAGTTGCCTGTGCACAGAATGGTTAACTTCTGGCCCAACTAGCTCTGATATAGTTGAGATGAAGATCTATCTTGCTGAGCAAATTGTTGCGCTACGGTTAGAATGTATGTTTTCACAGCCTGTAAGACAGAGTTGCATCTGATACGCTAGGCTTGCCCAGTACTGCCCTCCACAGATGTTGGAGTTCCCATGCTGTGTGCAGTTACTGAGATTTGTTCTAGTGGAAGGACTATCCTAAGCCCCCTGACACACATCGTGAGAGACCCTGACTCAAGAAAACAAGGCAGAGAGTCAGAGAGGAGGATGTCTGACATCTACCTCTAGCTTCTACATGCTCACATGGGCATGCGCACCTGTACACACATGCATATGCCCTCCCACATACACCCAAAGAAAAGAAGAGATACATAAGTTTCTCATATGCCTATTTCTAGAAAGCATTAAGTAGTAACTAAAGGCTCAAAGATTTGATTGATGTTTAATAATGTAAGTTGAACATTAGTTTCCTATTTGTACTGTAACCTGCTGCTCCTATCACACCTAAAGCCTGGCACACATAAGGAATGCCTACCATCACATAGTTTATAATTTAGCAAGGCGAAAGTTGTACATACTCCAATGTCTTATCATAGAAGTTTTGAACTCATAGCCACACTTTTATATATATGCTCTATGACTGTGCATTGTCTGATACGTTCAGTATCTTAGTCACTTAGACTAGTAAATGCTAATTTGGTCTTCATTGAAGCTGATCAGAATATCTACTGATTGCGTCAAAAATATGCCCTCATTAAATTTTTAAATGTCTTCACAGAACACTCAATAGAAAATTTTAAGAATAATAAGAAGGACTAGGGAAATCGATCTGTTAAATATCTGCTGGGCAGGCATGAGGATCTGAGCTCCATGCCCAGCACCCACATAAAAAGTCAGGCATGGTGGCACACACTTGTAATCCCAGAACTGGAGGGTGGACACAGCAGGATCCCTGGGACTGCCCACCCTCATTGGTAAGTCCCAGGTCCCAGAGAGAAACTCTATCAAAAAACAGGATCGCTTCTGAGGAACAACATCTGAGATTGACCTCTGTCCTACAGAGAGAGAGAGAGAGAGAGAGAGAGAGAGAGAGAGAGAGAGAGAAATAAGCTGCCCGTGGTACATCCATATATTCTCAGCACATGGTCGATAGATCATGCGTTAAAGGTCAGTTTAGGATACATATGAAATCCTTGCTTCAGACATATACACTTAACAACAGCAGCAATAACAACAACAACAATAATAATAATAATGAAAAGGAGGTGATGTTTCATCAAATATTGGCTATGTACAACTGGGCACAGCTGAATTGAATAAATAAAACCATAACACAGAATGTTCCAATTCACTCAATATGAGATACTCTACTTACAAACTGCAATAAATAACAGGATAAATTGCTGGAACTGCTATCGAGTCATAGTAGAAATGCAAATCTACTGTTGGAAATATCAAATATTAGCAGTGAAGACTTTCCTTGGGGGTATTGACTTGAGAGTGTGAAGTCTTGGATTGTGGGTCTGGGACTGAGGCAGATTTATTATAAGAGTTATGACATCATAACTAGACATCAGCATTGTAGAGGTTCTGAAGACAGGCCATGCCCACAAGGCTAAAGGCTTCAGGGAGAAAAGGCAGACCCATGCTATACAGCTGATAAGTAACCTATAGCACATGCTTGCAGTGAAGGTGTCTCAGATACTCAGTAGCAGGAGAAGGGGGAAAGATTAGAACCTTTGATAATGTGGGTCCGTCATTCAGAATGTGCCTCCTATAGCCCCTGATTACTTAGGGTGTCAGGTAAAACTACTCTGGGGCCAGTGAGGATTATAGACTCACAGACAGTCACAGCAGGGTGTTGCCATTCATTTCATAGCAGCCGTGAGGGTAAAGAGAGAGGCTACATACAGCAGGTGAACCATAGCCTGAGCAGCCTTAAGTCCAAACCTAACAGATAGGGTTGATCATTCTTGGATGTTCTCTTTGACAGACAGTGGACCGGCCAAAGGACTGGTACAAGACAATGTTCAAACAAATTCACATGGTACACAAGCCGGGTATGTATGTTCCTCTGGTTTGTTTGTTTTGTTTCGTTTTTTATCTAGTGCATATGGATTGAAGGATATATGTACTCAACTTTGCATAGACTTTCTTCTTTCTTCACACAAAAACATCAAGCCCCCAGCAAACGTGATGGCTGGCCCCTTCTTTCCAGCATGTCTCCTATTCTCCCTTTAACCCTACATCACAGATGTGGGCCTCTGCATTAACCGTGAGCTCTCAAGAAGCCTCCTAAGAGTGTGTCCTTTGGAGGTTACCAGATGTTCTGGTCTTAGCCCTCTGCCTCTGGATCTCTGACTACATCCACGCTGGGGTGTTGTGCACACCTAGACCCACTCCTGCGCCTGTCTGCCCATGTCTGTTTCTTACTACAAGAGGGACTGGAGTGGCTTCTCCTGATCCCCACTCAGTACAGTTGACAATAAACTTTAAAAGCACTTAAGGAAAATTATGATGCAGCAGACAGAATCTGCCTAGGGAAGTGAGGACAAGGGACCAGTTTTTCCTGTGTGACCAGGGCAAAAATGTGCATTACTTTATAGATAAGAAGCTCACTCTGCAGAGGCCTGGAGTGCAATATTTGGAAATGCAAAGTGCTGTTATATGGTAGAAGAAGAAAAAAAACATTGCTTTTTTTTTTTTTTTTTTTTTTTTTTTTTGCTGGTGTGTTTCTGTCATTTTTCTGACCTTCTGCTGTCTTGGCGACAAGGTGGCAGAGTCTGGATTATCATGTTTATGTTTCATTTTCTAGATGAGGACTCAGACATGTATAATACTCCTTATACATACAATGCAGGTAGGACGGCTTTCCTCGCTTGCCATGACTGGTCACACTCCACTGTCGGGAAGAGCCCCAGCCCTCGTCATCCCACCACCACCCCATGTTGTCATTGATGAGGAGGATGCCTTACTTCCTTTCTCAGAGCATGTCTAACAAAAGATTGATCCTTTCCCCCCTGGAAATGGGAACTAACACTGTTCTGCGTCATGCGTCATCCATCCCCTACCCCCCACCCCCAGCTGTTGGTTTATCCTCAGCTTCAGGAATGTTTAACCAGTGTGAAGGGACAGGGTGAAAGAACAGACTGTGACCTGGTTACACAACAAAAAGAAAGATCTTTTTATCAGCAGAAAGACCGATTATCATTGCGTAAGACCTCTCAGATACTATTCCCCCAAAACAAGTCAAGCAAAGTGTTTTACGGCCATGTCCAGGCTTTTGCTCCAAAATGGAACCATTCATTGAAAGATGTGAAAGACCTCCCTCTTGGCCGGACCACTTTTCTGACTCAGAGTTCCCAGTGCTCACAATGGAATGACTTCAGCTCTGGGCATTCCCACTTGTATTTGAATGTGCTGGTTTCTTGTGGAGTGGTCTTCATACTTGTGTGAGAGACACCAAAAATATATCAGTTTTTCCTAAATATCACATTGGGAGATTGTACCCAACCAAGTCATAGGCCCAGGATTGTGCCCTTATTTAGGGTCCTCTTTCCACCCTAAAAGAAAACTCCATAAGACTCTCACCTCCCTAAAACCTGATGACCAGCTACCAGCCTTTTAACTGGGTGAGTTTGCGGATCAACTCCAAAGAAAAAGGAGAAAGAAAATGGTAAAAAGCCAAACATCAAGCTGGTGATCTCCGAGTTAGACTCTGTATCCCCATATTACTTTGGGAAGTCCATTAAGATAAATATTCCCATCCTGCCCTGCTCTACCAAACTCACCTCCTTGATTCACCTCACAAGTTAAAGTCTGACTGTGGAGTTGACCCGGACACACTTGAGAGCAGGTGTTGTTGAGTGTCACTTCTCAAGGAAACAAATGCACACAAGAGGAACAGTCAAGTAGAGATAAACTTAGGCCAAGATTGAGACTCCGAGAAACTCAGAACTTTTATAGACTTCTAAATATTGAAATGGGTCCATCTCACTGGTAACGAATAAGCTGATGTTGAGTTGTGTTACCCAGGAGCCCAGGGAGTTTTATCATTCAGTCAGCCAGCAAAACGCCTATGACCACCCTCTACTTCCTAATAACCCACAGCTTTGTGTCTTGCATGTTATTCCTGCCACCAAAACTAAATCCTTCAAGCTCAACTCTAGTCCCACGAAATCCATAACATAGTCTGTGTCTCACTTGTCATCTTCAAACATCCCTTAATTTTTGCTATGTCCTTCTCCATTGGATTTTACTAACTACCCCAAACTCTTTTTCAATCACACATCATCTTGCATCAGCTTGTTCAGGAGGGTTTACACTCCCCTGTCCCACGTGGGAGCTGCACCTCGTGCATACAGCATGTCCTGTAATTGGTGGATTGCAATTAACACATCAGCTGTCCTTTGTACACCAGTATTACAAAGTATTAGCTGCTATTTTAATCTTCCTCTGAAAGTTTACCTAAGGTGTTAGTTTCTGTGATTGGGAAGAAACCTTGCTGAGTACCTGTAAGTTTATTTTTACTTACTAGCCTCAATTTTCATTAATCCTACAATAATGGATAATTTACTATAATCAGTACTTACATGCAAGACAAATTGATATCTAATTAATAAGTGATAATTCATAAATTAATGTTGATAAGTTAATAAACAATGTACCACCTCTAATGTACACATTATGAATATGCTTATTGATAATTTTTCAAAACCATTGGCTATTTCACATAGCCCAACATAGCCTTAATGCATCTTTCAAGTTATCTGCTTGTTTTGTTGGTTTTTCTCTTTTTCATGATAGGTCTGTACAACTCACCCTACAATGCTCAGTCTCACCCTGCTGCGAAGACCCAGACCTACAGACCTCTTTCCAAAAGCCACTCAGACAATGGCACAGATGCTTTTAAGGAGGCGCCCTCCCCAGTGGCTCCCCCACATGTTCCACCACGACCAAGAGATCAGTCTTCAACAGAAAAGTAAGGCTCCTCCCCCCGAAATGGCTTCTCTTAGGATAAAAACCAACCCACAATGGCACTCAGTGAAGAATCAGCCCAGCATTGTGGAGCGAATATATGCCAAGACTCACTATATTAGCCCGTATTGAGCATCACTACTGAGATTGTGCTGGACACTCTCAGGGAAGTCTCGGTCATGCTCTCATAATGCTCTAAATTAAATTTGATGTATCAGGACACAAACTCTATTTTCTGTTCAATAAGTGCATATAAGAAATAAAGAGGCCACGGATGGAGTTCATAAGTAGAGCATGTGTCTGAGTACTGCAAATAGCAACAAAACATGTACACACACACACACACACACACACACACACACACACACACACACACACACACACACACGTGTTCACAAGCCTTGGAGATGAGTCTCGGTGATAGTGACTTGTTCCACATACACTGGACTCCAGGTCCAATTCCAATTCTGAGCTGAAATGGGGTAGAGTGCGTCACATCATTCATGAAATCTCAGTCTTCATTAAGATGAGGCAGGAATTCAAGACCACTCGGAGCTACATAACTTTCAAGCCAGAACTGAGCTACACACTAGCATTATGTCTCAAAATAAAACCATATAAAATAACTGAAAAAAATTGGCAGGGATTCCCTTTGCTGCCACCACATTCAAGAGATACTAAGCAGTTCATTTTTCATTTGCACAGATTTGAAATTTCAGGTCTTTTAAGTTATCTTTTAGAAACCAAGAGAAATATTCTTAAATCATAAATAAGGCATTTTAACAAGTGCCTGTGACTCATTCCACCAGTTATTTTAACTGCTTCTAATTTTCATTTCTCCACTGAAATATTTTTAAATATGCTATTCACACCCAAATAAATTTTTATGAACAAATTTCAATTGTGTTATGTTAGGAGGACTGTAGCTAATAGTCCTAGTTACTGGTAATCTTTCCTGACAGCTCATTATGAGCAAACACTGTGCTAAGCACTTTCTTGTATTACACCATTTTATTCTGATAGCAACCCAATGGGACATGTTCTATATTACAGAAAAAGAAACCGGTTAGAAGATTACAATAGCTTGCTCTATTTGTATAGGTAGAGTGTCCAAGCCAAGATCCAACCTTAGCTTCCCCTAAAGACACATCCTATGCTCTCTCTACTGGTAATGAATAAGCAGTAATGGAAAGAGTGTTTATTATTACTGGGTCTTATATTACTGGTTTTTAAAGTATTTTCTATGATAATACTGTCTTAGTTATTGCTCTGTTGCTCAAACCGCAAGCAGGACACAGCTTCACATGTGTGAATGGGAAGGTGCGAGGGCTCTACCGGATAGAGCTTGTTGATTGACTCTACACCTAGGACTTGGTTCTCATTTTCTCTCTTAGAGCACTTCTGTGTCCACCATTCTGTGGAGAAGGAATTTTACTCTATTCGGGATTCCCCAACTCAAAAGATCAAACACTCCTGTTTCTCAAATATAAGTAAATAGGTATTTAATAACCCTTCCTGTTCTCCAAAGGAAGTTTTCTGATTTAGTTCTAGCTGCCCGGAAGAGCTTGGTGTTCTGAGTCCTACTGTGAAAATGCACTTGTCAAGAGCCCGTGACAGACTCTCAGTGTTATCAATGCAAGGAAGCAATCAGTTCTCAAGGGCAGGGTTGTGTGTATGTGTGTGTGGTTGGGGGGGGGTGTTTCAAGGCTCACACCAAGGAGTCCCCACACCACTCTGCTTATCCCTATGCATGCCAGCCCAAGAGATGCAGCTGTAGTTCTCACACATGCATTCAGATGCCAGTTGCAAGAAAGAAGATCAAACATGCTATGTGCATTCCTCCTTGTCCCCCTGGATCAAGGACGCCAGGTCACCAGGTAGTTAACTGACAAAGCTTCTCAGAGCATACTGCCACTTATTTTAAATTCAGACACATACAGCAACATGGGTCTAGCAACATGTCCCTCTTCGTGTGTCTACAAACCTCTTCTGTGAGTTTTTACAACCATAGTCACAGAGGTCAAAACAGAAGGAAAAATTATCTAAAGGGAAGAGTTTAATGGACCATTTAGTTACTAAAGTTAAGCATATGTGGTGTTTTTCATACATTTTCAACCAGAGAGATGTTGTAGTTGTGTTGGTTTTGTTTGCTGTAGTCTCTCAGGGTAGGAGAGATGGCTCAGCAAGAAAAATTGCTTGCTGCTTAAGCCTGAAGAGCTACGTTCAATCCCCAGAGCCTGTGGTGAAAGGAAAGTACTGACTCCCAAAAAATTTTTCCCCTGTGTGCATGCACTCATGTACACACACACACACACACACACACACACACACACACACACACAATAAATAATGTTAAAATTGACTGTGGGCGGTATTTCACAGGGGTTTTATGCACACAAATTGTTTCAACATGTGGTTTGCTGTTCATTTACAGGCATGACTGGGACCCTCCAGACAGAAAGGTGGACACCAGAAAATTCCGATCGGAACCAAGGAGTATTTTTGAATATGAGCCTGGGAAGTCGTCCATTCTGCAGCATGAAAGACCCGTAAGCACTTGTCATTGGTCAAAATCTAGGCCTCCAGGGTTCCCAAGTAAACCTGAATTTTACCCCCATATTTTTTTATTATTGAGGAATTGCATTTATTCCTAAGCATGATTTGTGTACCTTGTCTCTGAATAGTAGCATATCTATGCAGGACTCATTATGATTAGCATATAGCTAACTGTGCCTAATCACAGCACTTATACATGAAATACTTAATTGCTATTCTAGCTTGCCTGTGTGAAAAATCATGAATCCATATCCCTGATGTCCAGACCCAGGCAGATGAATCCCTTGACTTCTATGTTGGTTTCTTACTATTTCTTTCACTTAAGAGGAAAATTTCCCAAACACACTTTCTATAACAAGTTGTTTAATTGGTTTTTATTAAATCCCTCTCAGGTCACCAAGCCTCAAGCTTCCTGATTGATTACCACTTTAATGGATCAAGATTGTATTTCTCTTTGTAGTCTTCTTTTTGTATACTTTGATCACACACAAACTAAACGATGTATGAACTCAGAGAGGACCGCTTGCCTCTGCTAAAGCTAACAGCCGCTTCCTCCATGGCCCTCTGCTCTCTGGGTCCTCTGTTGCCCATCATTTTTGCTTCCCTTGTTTCTGCCTCAGAGCTCAGTGTTCTCAAGACCTCTTTAAAACCCAGCAGCTCCTCTGTATGTCCAAACTTGCTTCCAGATAAACCCCGTTGGTGTTTCCCTTGTGTGTTCCTCCAGAGGTCCAGAGCATCACACTAACACAGAGACTGAAAGGTCAGCCCTGAGATTCAGTTGGGCAGCCTGTGTCCTTACCACACCTAACCTGTGTCCTTGATTTTGAAACCCTGCTTTTGTGTTCTTGAGAAGTATGTTCAAAAAAATCTTCCAATCACATAATTCAACTGCTATTCTTCAAATAATTCAAAAATTTCTTTGAATGATAAGATTGCGACAGAGAAACTGAAAAGACAGAAATATTATTGATACTAGGCTCTAGATTATAACCCCGTCACTGAATTTGTCTAACTAAATATCAAGACAGTGAAATTTCCAAACCAAAATTCAATGGGACACAATATTAATTCTGAAAAAGCAAATCACAAAATAATTAATCTCATATTAAATTATAATAGAGAAGCTTTAATGATTTTTGAGGCTCTTGGAGTAATGATATGACTGAAGATAAGAAACCTTTTAATGGCTGAAACAGAAGCATATCTAAAGAATTCTCTCCATGAGAGCTCATTTATGGGGCCCCCTCACTGTCACTGAAAGCTTTGAAGGCTCTTTGTTTTAAAGTACTAACAACAGTGATAGCAATAACGGCATCTGTAAGTGAGTACCTACTACATGCCAGGCTCTAGAAGTAGTAATAACTCCTTTATCTTATGTAGTGTTCCCAACAACCCTATGAAGCAGATGCACCAACCTCCCGTTTTACAGATCGAGACTGACACAGCATCAGCTGAATGCCACATGGCCACATGGCCACATAGCTGGCATGCGCTGGAACCAGTTCAGCCTAGGCAAACTTTTGTTTGGTGCACTTCACTGCTGTGCTGGCTCCTTGGAGCAGGAAGCCATTAGCAAGTAGTCACCACACCATACTTTGATTGTTTTAGAGTATAGTATAATTAGTGGCTAACTAATTATATAATAAGTTAGTGGTACTTACCTTCCTCTACCCCAGAGCTGGGTTCAGAGAAACTATAATGCAAGCCTAGTATTCTTAACTGGCCTAAGGAGATGGGGAGGTCAGGATGATGGGTGTGACCAGAGATTCTGCTGTTGGATAAATCTCTTCAGCCACAGGAAAAGATGAGTGGAAGAAACTAGTAGCTGGGAAGGAAATGAGAATGGAAGGATTATATTTTTATCCCTCCTAAACCATTTTGTTGGAAGACAGTGTTGTGACAAATGATACGAGAGAATCAAAAATATAATTTGGGCAAGCCTTGTTAAATTATCATTTTTATAGGGTGAGACTATTACCTTTTTTTTTGTAAATCAACCCTCAATTCATCCCACTTTAAATTAAAAGGGGGGGCGCAAATTGAGCAATGGTATTTGAGAGACCAGCTAAGTGTCTTGAAGGCTCAGGCTGTAGGAAAAAGAGAGTGGGCTTGCTAGGTAAGAGTGACGTAACACCAGGTGGATTTCAAGGTCTTATGGATGCATCTTCTGTCTTTTTACTTGGAGGTATTTTGAGAGCACCCCCTTTGTTCTTTTCTGTTCTAATTTTTGAAAATTATATAAACAGCTAGGCAATTCTGTACCGTTCCCTTCAATTCCCAGAGAATCCCGTCAGCATCCCTATTTTCCTGGATCCCCCTCACTCTCCTACTCACAGGGAGAAATGTCATGACCACGTACTCCTTCTAGTCGACAACTTTCTGTTGTCGCTGTTGCCATGACACGGTCTTTTCCCTGGTTAGTGAATCCGGTCTCCAGATAATTTGTTAAAAAGCCTCCTGGCTCTCTCTTGTCCCTGGAACAAAATCTAACTCCTCTGATATAATTTACAAAAACCAAAGGACAACAAGAAATAAAACCTACCCAAATCCTGCGGTTTCACTCCCTGCCAGCTACGCAAAAGGCTCTCGGTCCCCTCTCACCAGACCTTGGCATGGTTTGATCTTCCTTCCAGGGAAGGATTCCTCACCACCTCTCTTTTCTTTTTATGGAAAGCTTCATGCACACACCCCGCTTTGTCAGAGGCACACTTTCCTTAGGGGCTTCCTCACCCTCAGCAGTGGCTTTACAGCTCTCCTTGCTGGATACATGCAGGATCTCCCACTTTGACATCCTTGCCTCATGCCTGTTCACTTGCCTGGGTTCCTCACTGTATGCTTTAGGTTCCTTGAAAGCAGGTACCATGTCTGACTCAGCATTTATCTGTCCTCCATCCCTAACCTAATACCTGGCATGCAGTAAATAACTCCTTGAGTGACTAAGTGAATGTGAACTGGTGTTACCTTTGCAGTTGATGGGTAAAATTGGTGAGAGATTGAATCTATCTATGAGGCCCAGTGAGTCTCCATCAAGACACAGATGGAAGTCACCAATAACTCTAATTCAGCTTTTGTGATTCCATGAGGTATGAAGGAAGCAAAGGGAACATGTCTGCCCAAACAGAAATTCTCAAACCCTGACAAAAAAAAGATTGCATTCATCCTCAGGAACTGAGAGCATATCCATCTATGAATGAGCTTTAACAGGAAGGCAAAAAGTAAATGCATTTCTTTGAAGCTCATAAGTTCATTAAATAATCAAATAATCATAATCAAATATTCATTTAATTATAAATTTCAGTGCTGATTAAATGGGCCTAATGTCTGATCCAGAGAAAGGCTTGCAATCCCCAGAAATTTGTCTTTAGCTGATCTGACCCACGGATTAGACTGTATTTCCAGTATACAGATTCCATATGACAATCATAGCAACTCTCCTGAGATCATATTAATAAAAGCATTAGCAATCATCTGAATTGGATACACTTGTAGATAAGCCATGTTAATTGTTTTTATGCTTAATAAAATAAAAAAATCTGCAAAAACATTGTTACCCCTTATATAGTAGCCATACTTACATATAATAATAATAGCAGAAAGGATTACACATTAGATGAGTTGAAACACAATGTAAACCTCCAGTGAATATGGTTTATCAACAAAAATTGCTACTCAAGAATTAAAGCATAAAAGTTTGAGAAGTTTTATCTGATGGTTTGACCCATGAAGAATGATCCCATTATGCAATAGTATTTGCTACGAAAACAAAATAAATAGAAGGCATAGCAACCCATGACTTGACGCTTAAAAGCCAATGAGCATTTACAAGAACAAACTCATGTGTTCTCCAGTGTGTTTAGGATCATATAGAGAGTGTGTAATCAATGAGAAGACCGAAAAGCAGGAGAGTTTCTCTGACCTCAAAAGCATCTAAAGACTTTTAAGCTGGGAGAACTTTAAATGACACATCCTGGGGAGCCTCTTAAGAACAAGCACATGTAAGCTCTCGTTTTAGCGTATCTGAGGCACTTCCTCTCACACCAGAGATATAGTTCGTGTTAAGCAGAAGTTGCTAGGTTTGTAAAATGGACAGGAGCAAACCAAGATATCCATCAGCTCTCCTCTGCCAATGTGGGACTCACACGGGGAGGTAACTGCCGTTTAGTGGATTCCGAAGTGTTCATATTCGCGGAGGACAAAGAAGAGTTTCCCTGACGGGAGGGAAACGATGAAGCCTATGCTCCAGTTATCTGACCGTCCGCATGTGTCGCTGGCCATTGCAGTGTTTCTCTGTCCTCCAGCGGTAGCTCCAGATTCCTACAGAACACATTAGATTATAACTAGAGGAACTCAATAGGTCAGCCACAGCAAAGAGACCGTTCTGGGTCTGGCACGGCCTTTTTTGGGGGGGTTGGGGAGGGAGCAATATGTTGAGGGTTATTTTGAAGGTTATGTTGTTTTGTCTTAATGTTCTTTTGAGACAAGGTCTTGCTATGTAGCCCAGGCTGATTTCAGACCCACCATCCTCTTGCCCCTGCTTCCTGAGTACGTGCAATTGCAAGTGTGTGCCTCCACACCCAGCCTAGAAAACAAAGGCTCTGCTCAAGTGTGCACCATGCACTGCATCCCAGAATCACGCAGGATGACTTGTCACTGTTTGTGCAGATTCTAGGAGGTTCCTCGCTGTGACTATAGACTGAAGCTTTGTGAAACAGCAAGGTTTAATAAATTTTACAACTATATAAACGTCGTTATAAATGTGTACTTATAAGTAAATAAATTTAATAACAGGAAATTGCTATTTTAAGTTTTGGAGCTGAATGACAGACATAGGCTCCTTTTCCCCAGATTCTATTATAGAAATGTATCTCTACAATGGAGATATGTAGTCTATCCATTTGTTAGAGGTGTTCTTTAATTACAAGTCGAGGTGAAGGTAAAAAGCTTGTTTTCCTATTTGTTTAGTAGATTTGCTGCCCCCTGCTGTTCATAGTGTTTTGAAGCCCCCCCCCCCTCCAAAGTTTCTAGCTTCCCCCAGCAAAATAAAACACTGTAGTTGAAAGCAGAGGTTTTAAGTCGAGAGCTCATAGCCACTAAGTGCACAGTGTTAGGAACTATGAGTTTGGGAGATCAGAGGTCTCTTTCCTGCGAAGGAAATAGTACACCCCCCTGAACAGCACAAAGTTCCTGGTAAATTCTCTCTAACGTTACCTGTTCAACGATAAAGGCTCCAGCAAAGTTATGCCATGAAGTAATTACACACTGCAGAGAACATCTTCTAAATAATTGGGGGAAAGTAACACTTTATCACCAACAAAATCTTAACATTCATAACTACTGAATCGAAAATTTTAATTCAATGGAAAATAGTTATTGTAATTTTTTTTAATTCAATGGGAATAGATTACTGGAAGATGTTATTTCTACAGATTGCACTGTTAACTATAAAGTGGAAACCAACAGTAATATTGACATGAATTGAGCTAAATATCTTGTAGCTGGAAGTTTTCCTGTGTCCTGCCCGGTCCCGCAGCTGGCTTATATTAACTACAAAACTGTATGGCCTAATGGCTCAGGCTTCTTGCTAGCTAGCTCTTACAACTTAACTCAGCCCATTTCTATTAATCTGTGCATCACCATGTGGCTTCGTGGTGTTACATGTTCTCTCACATCTTGCTTCTCCTGGCAGCAGCTCACTGTGTCTCCTGACTATACCCTTTTTCATCTCCATCTCCAGTTTGAATGTACTGCCTAACCTCATTCTGCCTCACCATTGGCCAAATGACTTTATTATCAACCAGTGAGAGGAACACATATTCACAGCATACAAAAAGACATCCCACAGCAATATCTCAAGAGTTTCTGCAGCATTTTCTCTTTCTAATAGAATAGCCTCTTCGATTGTTATTTATGGCAAAAAAAAAAAAAAAACACCTCATAACCCAAAGTAAAATAATACTAAAAAGACAGTTTCTGTGCTTGCCTGACAGTGTAGTATTTTGTGTACACATGCATTCTTTCATTTGCCCATCGAGATACCCACACGGGGATACCATCAACCACTGTGTTGCAATGGAGTGTTATTCCAGCATCAGTCCCAAGCATATCCCAGGGTTACTCTGCAGACATTCTAATCACTACCACTACATATAATGCATAAGCTTGGCCTCTGCACTGTTTTGTTATGATGCCTCAAACTTTTCTATCATTGTGTGTAGTTACTATAATATCACCCTCTTCTTTCATAAAAATATTAAAATAAAGCTATACCACTGAAAATGTTGTGGGAATAATGTATCATTCACTGTAGACCAAATGGCATTAATAAAAACCACTGTAATACAATGACAGTGAAACACTACAACAAGCTCATGACAGAATGGTGGCCTTTTTTTTGGAATGCTGAATATGTCAACGCCCCCAGCATTATAGGGTTATAGAGCTACTCAGTGGTAATCTTTGAGATCTGTAAGTATTCTAAGAATAATATAGGACTGAAGTAGTGAGTGTTTAGAAGCCCTCCTGGATGGTGGTGTGGGTATCAGAGCTTTTCGCTGGGCTGGAGTGAATGGCTTTTAGGGGATCAAAAAACTTAGAAGTTTTTCTGACTTGATATATTGTACTATGCAACTATACACATTTAACTAGGGACATGAGATATATCAAAGAGGCAGTAGTGCACATATATGATACTTCAAGTGCCATTTTATAGAAAAGCAACCAGCATGACATCATCTAGCGGGTATGTATTGTAAAAAAAAAAAAAAAAAAAAAACATTGAGGGTATCACTGGGTTGAGGAAAGGCTGAATGTACATGTCCTATTGCTCAAGTAATTGTATTTGTTTTTTCTCAACTGTTTATGTTGACACCCCTGGCATTTCTATCTTAAACACAACATTCACAAACCACCTAACAGGCAAGACAATTAGACTCCATGCCCTCCCTCTCCTTCCCTCCCTACTATGAAAAGCCTGGTTCTACCCACACCCTCCTTTAGCTCCAAGTCCTCAGGAGGAGATGGAATCACAAAATGGGATATATCTTCACTTTTGGAGAGACTTGTGACCTTGAGATCTTTGCTATGGTGGGCCATTTTTAAGGACTATGCCTCAGTCAGCCCAGGCATAGTCCCTTCCTGAAATATTAGTCTCTAGGACTAAAGCCAGCTGGTGTCCCCCTCCAGGCTCCATCAAGAGCCCCTGTCTAACGAACCAGTGTCTCCTCACCCCTCTCTCTTACAGCCCCCTCTCCCAACAACTCCGACACCTGTTCCCCGGGAACCCAGCCGGAAACCTCTCTCGGTGTCGCCCTCAACAGATGGCCTGCGTAGCCCTTCCCCTCCGCCCCGGAGCTGTGTCCCCGCACCCCGTCAGAGTCCGAGCGCCCCAGCTCTCTCTCCCACCCGGGTGAGCTCCTTCCTTCTTCACCCTCTCTCATGCTGTGGGGAAGCAGAGCTCAGCCTGTGTTCCGAGGCTAAGGCACGGTCAGATGCCGTCTCTGCTGGGGTTCTTCCTGCTCCTGGACCCCTGCCTTTCCACCCTCATCTCCACCATTCCATGTTCCAGCCCGCCCCATCTGCAATGTCTGCATACTGCAGACCACTGCTGCCGCTGCTGGTTGCCAGTGACTTCAGGGTCAGCAGACTGACCCATCCAGGAGAGCCCCTTGGTTCCTCGTTTGGACCTGTCTTCATAGTCTGGCCTGCCACCCTTCCGCATTGTCACTACCAGAATAATTTCCCTAGTTCATGCATCAGGCTAAAACGTTAGCGATGGTGGCGACAGGGACCCCAGGGATGCCACGGACCCTCATTTTCATACCCTCATTTTGCTCATTGTACCTTACTTTCTCCATTCTGTCCTGCTGAGGTTTGTTGGACGAGTCCGATGCATGTTTGCGTGTGGATGCGCGTGTGTTTTCATACCACACGGCGTTTTCCCTCACTTCGCTCAGTGTGCCTTTTCCTTCCCTTTTCCTTCACATCTGCTCTAGACTGGTCGCATAAATCCAGATGACATAGATTTAGAAAATGAGCCCTGGTATAAATTCTTTTCAGAACTGGAGTTTGGACGTCCGGTAAGTGAGGCTAGACAATTACTATTAGACAAATAGGAGGATGTTGTTTGATTTCTAAAGCATATTCTTGTCAGAAGGGAGACATGTCATGTCGAGAACAAAAAGCTGGATGGATAAAATACATGTGCTCCAGCTTTGTGCAAATTCGCTTTGGTGCCAAAAATGCCTAAATGTGTTCATTCGCTTCCCGTATGTTTTCTCCTAATCACGCATTAGAATCACATTCAGTTAATTGCAAATCTATCATGTTGAGGTAGATTAGGGGAGAGCTGTATTGTGTACAGCACATTTTGGTCTAGTTGGACAGTAACTAGTACCTTGCCATCTACAAGAAGACTGTTACTACAGTTCTTGTTTGCTGAGGAATTATCAAGCCAATGACTTGAGTCTTCCTGATGCAACAATTCCAATAAGAAGAACATAGACCAGAAAGGTCAAAGAATTTGCCCAAAATTGTCAGAAATTAAACCTAGGCTTTTCATACAACAAGAAAAATCTTTGGGCAGTTCCGACTATAATGTATTGCCAGAATATTCCCACTGTAAATATTCCCACTGTAAAATGATTCTTTGAATAGGAGAGATGTAACAAAAGGAGAGAATTAAGAAGCCTTGTGGACCTTGATTTATAGTTTTGCTCATGAGCTACCAACAGATCTCTGATCACCAGACTCCCATGCCTAAAGCCCCTAGTGTGGTCCTCATGGGGTCTGATTGATCTGTTTGGGACAGGGTCAACTCAGGCTTCTCATCACTTCCTTTAACTATTGATTCTCTATTGGGGAATTGTTTGTGGGTTTCATGTTTTCTGTAACATGCATTTTTACGAACCCTAAGCTATTGAATAATAGCATGTCACTTACTCTGCCCAGCAATTTGATAAGAACTCAGATTTGTTCTTTCTCCACATCACATAAGGACTTAATAAATATGCTGATCACATATTCCTCACTGGATGGCTGTGAGAGCCCTTTTTATGCATTACAATGCAATCTTGGTTAGCCTCATTATATGTTTTATTGAGCTGAATCAAATGTGACTGTAAATGAATATTAAACAAAATTTCCTGGCATTTCTATTACCTAACAAGAGGATTGTTTCCTCCTATTTTTTTTTCTGGCATCTCCTCTTATTAGAATGTATTTTATTTCACTGGGAAAATGCTCTCTTGTTTTGCTTTATGTATTTGTTGTAATTGGGTAGAGTTTCCAGAGAATGTACCTTTTTCTGTGTTGAGCCCAAATTACCAGCACTTTTTTCTGCAACCCTCCTCAGCCACACAGGGACACCCACCTGCATGCCACTTACTCCTCCGATGTTTCCTTAATAGACCTTGCAATCTGCTGTGGCCAAAGACTGGGAGTGCTAATTTGGATTTGACAAATTAAGTTTACAAATCTACTAATTGAACACAAGCAGCTTTGCACAGTGCTTGGGAATATTTGCAGACATTGCACTCTTCCTCCTCCGAGGCTGCCACTTTGTCCACTCACGACACTCTTTTCTGTGTAGCTGATGCTCGATTTCTAACTGTTGTCACCTTTTCCACATGTCCATTACTCGCTGCCATTGACTCTCCTCCATCCCATCTCTCCACTTCTGCTTCTGTGGTGCATCTACACCCAGCCTCCTAAAAAGGCTCTGGATTATGTTCAAGATCATTCTTCCGGTGTTTCCAATGAGGTAAAGACAAATTCTTCTCTCCTTCCACATTTCCTGCTTTGTGACTGTCAGTCTGAACATACGTGTTTTTAAGAGTTTCCTGTGTTGTTCAAGCTGGTTTTAAAAAAAACTCTTTTTATCACTGTGTTACATGTAGCATTATCTAGACAGTGCAAAAGGGTTGGCTATTTCTGAGTTCCAGGTAATGATTGTTTTCTAACTGTTACTTCCAGTTAAAATATTCAGCAGCATGAAAAAATAAAAAACCCAACTACTGAACTTCAGCGTGTATTAACTGCCCACTTTCATAAACTGAGAAAAGTACTACCGGAGGCGTCTAGAAGGCGATTTTTCATTGTGCTTAGAGGTACAGACTCAGAGTTGAGGTTCTTGGGCCATAGAGATGGCTCATTAGGTCAAAGCATTGGCTGTGACAGCCTAAGGGCCTGACTTCCACCCTGGAACCCACCCACTGTGCATGAAGGGAGCATGCCCTCACATGGTGTGGTGAGTGTGCTGCACCCACCCAGACAGGATAATATAACTTTTTAAAATAAAGTTCTGATTCTTACACAATCAGATACTTATTCCTTATATTTTTTCTAAATGGTGTTAATCTTTCATTTTACTAAATGCTTGTAACTTGTGGCCTTTTTCCACCAGTCAAGACTAGAGATGACGAATACCTGGCGTGTGTGTCCCCGTTTCCCAGTTCCACAGCCTCAACAGGCGTCGCTCACTCTTGAGATTGGAACCCAGGCAGCCACGACAGCAGATAGTCACTGCCATGTGCCATAAAACTTAGTTGAGGTCTCTGCTGAAGATGCTATGGGTAGGGCTGGAGAGATGACTTGGTGGTTTAAGAGCACTTGCTGCTCCTGCAGAGGACCTGGCTTGAGTTCCCAGCACCTACATGGCAGCTCACCACCATCCACAACTCCATTTGTAACACCCTCTTCTCGCCTCATCAGCACCACCATACACATGGCTCACAGGCATGCATGCAGGCAAAACACTCACGAACTAAAACTAAGTAAGTCTTTAAATAATAATAATAATAAAGATGCTTATGAAAATCAACCAATCAGCTAGGTGAAGAATTTATGTCAGGCTATGTAAATTTTAACCTGGATAAGGAAAAGATGGTATGGAAAGGAACAGAAAGGATACTAAGCCAAACTTTGCCCTCTACAAAGTAACCAGAAGGCTATAGTGAAAAGCACTTAGAAGACACAAGCAGATAAGTCATCGTTAACTATCAGGCAGATAAACGCCTCCTGAGGGCACTCTCGGGAGTAGCCAGGCAGGACAGAAGCACACAGAATCAACTGATTTTTGTCCCAGCAGTTGCTATGTGTTCTTAAGTGAATGCAACGCTGAATAAATATCTTACTATCACTGCAAAGCCCTCACTCAAGCTATGTGCAAGGTAAGAGCCAAGAACTCGTGCTAAGGACGGTACTCCTGACACACAGCGGGGACGACAGATTGCAGGCATGGAGTTTGAAAAGGAAATACTCAAGTTTCCAAAGGTTTAATCTGCAACTCCACATTATCGATCATCTAATAAGCATCATGGTGTGTGTTAAAAACACAGAAGCGACCGAAAAAAAATTTTATCAAATGAAAAGTAAAGTCCAGTAATCAGGAACTTTTTGAGGTATTGAATTCATTAATTTTTCAAGATTCATGTTTTGTAGCCAAGCCTGCTCTCTAAAGAGAATCAAATAAAACCAACAATTCTATTCTGTATGTTTTATCATTGCGGTATATGGACAACATAAGAATTTATTTTGATATTCAATTCAATCAAATATTTTTCTTGTGTTCTCCACACCAAAACTATGTTACTGTGTTGATGAACTTTTGTTAGACTTATGATCCATTGGGGGGGATATCTTTATCATATTGGGTACTTTTTGTTGTTGTTGTTGTTGTTGTTGTTGTTGATTGAGACAGGGCAGGGTTTCTCTTTATAGTCCTGGTTGTCCTGGAACTCGCTCTGTAGACCATGCTGGCTTTGAACTCAGAGATCTGCCTGCCTCTGCTTCCTATAAGTACTGAGATCAAAGGCGTGTACCACCACCACCACCAGGCTCCATCTTTTTTTTTTTTTTTTTTAGTTTAGTGTGAGACTGATGTGTTTAGATAAATTAATCAACATTTTGTAAATATTCCCCAGGTATTTTGATCATCAGATACTTCTGGATTTTTTTTTAAAGTAGTTGGCTCATTGATTTTGAAACAGAACTTAGAAAACATCATATCCAACTCGTTGGATTTCTAGTTAAGAAAAGTGCAATGGAATAACTTAAAGGAATGTATCTAAAGTCACCTACTAAGATGGCTGTCAAGAGAATAAATCACCAATTGCTCATCCTTCATTTCAAAATGGTTTCCTTTATACCACACTTTTTACCATCCCCAGGAGATGTATTTAAAGCTTGGCTCTTCAAGAAACTATTTTTTTTTAATTATTAAGTTTGTATAAAATGGATTCTAGTAATTAACACTGCACAGTAACTACTGAGCACAGAGATGGGAAAAATTAACATAATGTACTTTTCATGTTATGGTAGTAACCAAAATACTACATTAAAAAAGCAGATTGATAGCAGTAGAACTATGTGTTCTTATCTTTTGGAGACTGAGCGACATGAGTAACTTTAACAGCATAGTTAACTAGGGTATTAATTTAAGAACATGGCCTTTCAGAGTTTAAAAAAAATATACTCCCATAAGATATTTTGATTCTGTCTTTAATAACATTTATATGACATTTCTAGTAAAAACTATAATTATTAGATAATACCTCAGCTATCATTGATCAAGTACGTGGTTTTATCAAGCATATGTTACAAATGACATAGTTTTTTTTAAATCAAATATAACTGAGACATTTGTTTGCAAATGTCAGAATGAAACCTATGCTTTGATAATCTGAAACAAATTTTTAAAAAGAATACTTGAGAACTTGTTAGCAACATTTAATCAATAATTTCTTAGCAGAAAGAATGATTTGATGTCTGCATCCTATGTTAAAATAGTGATCTTTGTAAATGATGAGTACACTTTGTTTGGTAAAATGGACTAGTTCTTTTCTTGGGACTCTTTTTTTTCAGCTGAGTGTCATAATTACTGTACAAGATTTTGCCTTAATTATTAATCTGAATTTTTTATTATTACCTTATAATTGAAAACTGAAATTTCTCTTATGATACATAAAATCAAAGCATTTCTTTTTGGGAAGAATTTTTTAGCAAGATGGCTCAGCTGTGACCTGGGTTTTATCCCAAAACCTATATTGTATAAGGAGAGAATTTATTCCCTATGTTCTGACCTCCACACACATATCATGGTACACACACACACACACACACACAAACAAACAAACATAAAACAACACATACACACTAAATGTTTTTTAAAAAACATTTTTAGCACCGGGCAGTGGTGGCGCACACCTTTAATCCCAGCACTCGGGAGGCAGAGGCAGGCGGATCTCTGTGAGTTTGAGGCCAGCCTGATCTCCAAAGCGAGTTCCAGGAAAGGCGCAAAGCTACACAGAGAAACCCTGTCTCGGGGAAAAAAAACAAAACAAAAAGCATTTTAGCTTATTTGGATTATGAAAAACAGAACAAAGAAGAATGATTACAGTTTGTCTTAACTCAGAAACATACTTAATCAGTTCTAACACAGTGTTTTATTTCATATAACAGAATTATCCAAGCTTATCAAAACTGGGGGTTCATATTTCTGATCTTATTAGGAATATTCTGAGTGTATCCTGAATTTGACCCTTTTAGTGGCCAACTATGTGTCAGGCTGTCCCATAAAACCTGTGAACCACAGGTAACAATACTCTGAGGCTCTCTGATATCACTTCTGCAAACACGAAGAATTATCTAATATTATTTTACTTGTTTTCTTTCTTCCTTACTATGTTTTCCTTACTTTCTACTCTCCAATTCAGACAAATTAAAATAATTATGTAAACTGATCAACATAGTAGAACAATTTTCTACTGTCATATTTGTTGAGAACATAGGAACCTAAGAATTTTCTAAAAAGTACAAATATTAAATATGTTTTTCCTGTCCAAAATGAGGAAGGAATGTTTTCATGACGACAGATCCTTTGTTTTATTATAGATAAGATCCCATTCTTAATCAGTAATATGGAATTAAAGCAAAATATTATGCATGAGGCTTGTCAGGCTGGCCTACATAATAATTATAAAGTTATACTATTGTTTTAATTGGGAAAGTGATAGTATTTACCAGTTAATAGAAAAGAATAGTAGGAATCACTTATAAAGTGAGGCTGTCATTTCATCTAAGTAGGTTTTTAATATTCTGATTAAAAAAAATCTCCATATAGGAATTTAAGGTAAGAGTCATCAACTCTGGCCTTTATGGTTGACAATTTTAGGCCTTCATATAAACATTTTCAGAATACAATTTCCATTTTTCAACAAACCAAGGTTTATCTATCATGATGATTGAGCAATAAATATCTCAAAGGCCAAAGGTGTATTTCACCAGGAACTGGTTTGCTATAAGTGTAGAGATCACGACATGGCTGCTTCTACCTTGCAATGTCCCCTCAGAAACTCAATACCAGCCCTCTCTTGTAATCTAGATTAGTTCAGGAAGTGTCTCAGAAACAGCCATGTACCACAAAAACTTTATCTACCGCTTTTGTGTGGTATCAGTTTCAGTGTGCTGTTCTTAATGAGAGGTGTAAAGCACACCATTTAAAGGAATGTACCTTGATTCATTTGGTCATTTATTTTCAATTAATTTTCAACTCAAATTGTTCAGGATTTATAAATCTGTACCTGGATGAAGTCCCAGGTGATTTAGATTATTTTCAAATCAAATTCTGTACGTTTTATGAAATAATGTGTGTTTACAGGGGAAAGACATTCAAGTTCCACTTATATGCTATCTTTTCAAGGTAACACCTGGCAATAACAATGAAATTATAAAGAACTTGATGTTTTTAATCAGGATTTAATGATGACTGCAAATATTTTCTTACAAATAAAGCCAGCTCCTCATATATGAAGTTCCTACTTAGTTGTTGAAAGCCTGTTGTTAATGCTAAAGAGAATTAGCCCTTCATTCTGTCCAGTCTTCCTGATGATAATGTTACTGGTTTATTTCTTCTTCTTCCTGAGGAAATGAATGGCTTGGTTGTGTTACATCACAGAATGCAGTGTAGTTTGTTAAAAGGGAAACTCAAAGACATGTTGCCTTTCTGGAGAGACATTTTTGTAATCACAACAAATGATTCTTTTGATCACAATATTTAGACTCTAAATCTTAGAGTATCCTTTTTAGAATGCAGAACTCAATGATGACAAATAAATGAAATTTGCTATGGTAATTATTTTCATGAGACTGCTTTTCTATCTTAACAGGCCTCCATCTACCAGCCCTCCATTGACAGAAGCCTGGAAAGGCCCAGTAGGTAAGGATCTCATGGCATTACACTAACAAAATATCCTATGCCAGCATTTGCTTCCCAATAGTAATCTTTGTTAGTGAAATACTGGTGCAAATCACATAACTCTTTTTCTTATTTTAAGTACCAGACTTCATATTTGATTTATATGTTGGCATACCATTTTATATGATCACATCCAAGAATTTACTAAAACTCGACAATGTAATTCTGGATTTCTTCACAGGGGTCAGTGAAGGTCATTTCTTCCCACTGTAGCCTTTGTATCCTGTGTCCTTTTTCATTCCAATGAGGGTTGAAAATATTCTCAATGTTGGTTCAGAAACATTTTATAAATTAGAAGCTACTGATATGTATTATTTACACTTTGATCACACAAATACATCTTTTCACTACATTTCAAGGCATCCCAAGTCCATAAACATATTCAATCCACAGACAACACGATGAGTTAAAAATTAGTCACCAACTTGTCTTTGAAGACGCTAATGCTTAAGCTCAACAACCTAGAGTTTAGAAAGGAGAGAAAAAACAGAGTGAAGCAGGTTAACTTATCACCACTAGTCACAACTGTCCTCAGAGCCGACAATCTAATCTCTGTTCATAGGTTTTAAATATACTTAATTGAAACTATCACCAAAATTCAGATATAGTTCAATAGCAGTTAATATAACAGTCATGGTATACCATCAACAAACAGTTCTATAATGTTACTTTGCCTTTGTACAAGTTTGTGTCAACCTTAGTAAAAACTTTTGTGACTTAGGTAAATTGGGATTTTGAGTGCTTCCCAACTACACTAATATTACAAAGAGAGGCATTCCTCCACTCCCTCCACTGTTATATTTTTACATCTATGTGTGTGTCTAAAATGTTTGAAATGCTTAAATTCTGGAACTTGAGTCTGACCTAAAGGTTGCTATGAAGACACAGAGCCTTACACAACAGGATATTTTGTAGGAGAAAAAGTATTCTACAAGGCACATTCATGATGGATGCATTTGCATTTCATTATTACTAGCAACCCCTGAAGTATGTCACAGATATTATGAACCCTATATATAGAAGATAGATTTTGAGAGATAACATATCCAGATGGTGTCATTAGCTGTTACACATGTCTATAGAAGATATAAAGAGAAATATGCTCAAGAAGAAAGAAATGGGCATAGAAGAGCTCTCTGCTCAATTGACTGTTGATCTCTGCAGAGGACTAAGATCCTAAGACTCACCAAGGATACTAAAATCTACTGACTCACAAGAGTCTTATACAAGTGACATAATATTTCTACCACCTGGTAATGGTGGTGCACACCTGTAGTCCCAGCACTCAGGAGGCAGAGGCAGGCAGATCTGTGAGTTTGAGGCTAGCCCACCTAGAGAGTGAGTTCCAGGACAGCTAAGGCTACACAGAGAAACCCTGTCTCAAAAACAAAATACAAAAAAAAAATTATAAATAACCTACTCATGGCCTCCTATATACTCTGAAATATGTATAATGCCTCATGCAACACAAATGCTATCAAAAAGAATTGTTGGGACTAGAGAAAGGACTCCATGGATAAGAGCACTGGCTGCTCTTGAAGAGATCCCAGGATCAATTCTCCAGCCCCCACATGACAGTTCACAACCATCTGTAATTGTAGTTCCAGGAGACCCTATGTCCTCTTCTGTCCTCCATGGGCACTGGGCACTGGGTATGGTACACAGACATGTATGTAGACAAAACACCCATACACATAAAATAAAAATGAGTTAAGTCAGTGGTTATTGTAATGGATCACATGGGGAATAAAAATACAGTTTGTACATGTTCAGTAGTAATCTAATTCCTAATATTTCCAGTGCGGAGTTGGCTGAACCTATGGATATGAAGAGCCTGTATAGTCCAGCCAAATATTCTGTAACTTGAAACTTCCCTTTAAAAATGAGATGGATACATGTTTTTAAAAGATGAACCTAAAGACAGTATTTTGAATGTGGAGGAATGACTTTCTCATGGCACAGTTTTGTGGGTAGAGGGTTGGGGGTTCTGCCATTCTCTAACGCAGTCATCAGGCTTCTTGTGCATGTGCTAACCTCTTCCAATCAAAGTGACACTGATTCCCTCCGTCAGCTCTGCAAGCATGGCTGGTGACTTCCGGAAACGGAGGAAGAGCGAGCCTGCAGTGGGCCCACCCAGAGGCTTGGGGGAACAGAGTGTGAGCAGGGCCAGCCCTGGCCGGGCAGACCTCCCAGGATCGAACTCCACATTTACGAAGTCTTTCATTAGTTCCTCTCCTTCCTCTCCCTCAAGAGCCCAAGGTGAGCCACAATCAGTGAACACTCTCGCTAGTTCACAGTTTAGCCCGGAGTATGGGGGAAGGGCCCATCTCATGATCACAACTTAGGCCGCCTTTGCCTGTGGTGTCCCTGAAGCAAACACAGTTCCCCAGCAAAGCCATTGCTCCTACCCAATCCAATTCAAACTGGCAAGCCATTTAAGAGTCTTAAAGAACTCAGACTAACATGTTTTGTTACTACTTTCTCAAAAGTACATTGCATTTATTAGTGTTTTAAACCCAAAGTATTATAATTTGTTGTCATAGTTACAGAAATGGCATTTATAGGCTTTTGCGTAGGCAAATTTTCTAATGTTATTACAGATAACTAATTAAATTTGTAGAATAAGAATTATAAATAGCAGCAGAAAAAATATCACTGAAAGCATGCAATGGGGTACTTTAAATTCTGGATTAGAAAATAGTTTACTTTAGGCATGCCTTTAGTCATTTACTCGGTTTTGTTCAACCTTTATTTGTATGGTAGAGTATCCCATTCTACCATGTAACTCAGTGGTCCATAATGGTTAACAATAAGTACATACTGGCCTGAAGGCACAAATACCAAATTTAGAAATGAGGAGCCTTGGTGAGATGACTCAGTAGGTAATGGCACTTGCCACCAAGCCAGTTAACATGAGTGTGATCACCGTGGTTCATATAGTAAAAGGAGACAATAGACTCCCACAAGTTGTCGTCTGATCTCTACTTGCGTGTACACAGACATGAAAGAGAAAGAGAGAGAGGGAGGGAGGAGGAAGGAAAGAAAGAAGGAAGGAAGGAAGGAAGGAAGGAAGGAAGGAAGGAAGGAAGGAAGGAAGGAAGGAAGGAAGGAAGGAAGGTCACTTTTTTAGTTGGCCTTCTCCTCTTTGGAAATGCAGTAAGCTGAGCATTGAAGGGACAGAGTTGCTCATTTGGGTCTCTACAAGATTACTTGGGTCTTTTTTTTTTTTTTTCTTTTTAACCATAATCTATTAGCATGCCAAATTTGGGCCACCACAATTCTCTCCAGTCTTTGAGGGTTAAAATAGAAGAGAATGGGTTTTCAAAGCGTGTAAAGAAAATGAGTTTCAACAGAAGTGTCCATGATGTAGGACAGAGTGGGGTACACCTAGCAACTATATACATTAAAACTGCCCCCATGCCATGATTAAAGCAAAGCGGTAGCTAGTATACAAACAACAGACTGTTTATGATGACTCGTCTCTGTAGAGGAGGATGGCTGGGCTGTCTAAGACCTAACTAACTCTCAAAAAGTAATTTCCTCATTAACTAACATGCCTTCATTATATTCTACTCATCTACACAGCAAATATGCTAAGTAACAAGCCAGTTAATGAAATGCCACAGACCCATCATTCTCAGACACAATTCAAAATGTAAAAGGACCCTGATAAACTTAAGTATTTTTCTTACCATAGAGAGTTAAATCAAGTTCCTTTCCCAAGTATTACATATCAACTGAATGAATTACCAGTTTTTGGAGAATTCAGGGGACGTTGTAATTTGTAAATTGTTAATAGAGAGAGCCACACTGTTAATAGGTAAGAGTTGTGGCTGGGCAAGCCTTATTGCCCCCCCCCCCCAAAAAAAACCCATTGAATTATGCAGTAGAAATGTGTTAGTTACATTGAGTGTATTTCGTGTGTGGTTTTGCTTACTGTAGTATCTGCAAAGTTGCACTGAAAAATACGATCTTGTACTAGCATCAAACATTTAACCTCTTTAATTGAAGCTGTGTGTGTGTCAAGATGCCTAGAGTAAGCCACACTAACTGCCTTCTCTCTGCTGTGCTAATACTGACATGCTCTCCTTTCCTTGTGAACCTTTTAACTTCTCCAAATGTCTTTCTCCTGCCATGCTGCTCTGGATTGGAAGGCGGGGATGATGGCAAAATGTGCCCATCCCTTTGCGGTTACTCGGGGCTCAATGGTGCCCCCTCTAGTGAGTTAGAGTGCTGTAGTGCGTATAGACAGCATTTGGATGTCCCCCGGGACTCTCAAAGGGCCATCACCTTCAAGAATGGCTGGCAAATGGCCCGGCAAAATGCAGAGATCTGGAGCAGCACTGAAGAGGCTGTGTCCCCAAAAATCAAGTCGCGGAGCTGTGATGATCTCCTGAATGACGACTGTGACAGCTTCCCAGATCCTAAAGCCAAGTCAGAAAGTATGGGTTCTCTGTTATGTGAAGACGACTCCAAAGAGAGCTGCTCCATGGCATGGACCTCCCCCTACATCCAGGAAGTCTGCGGTAACAGTAGATCTAGAATCAAACACAGGTCGGCCCATAATGCCCCGGGCTTCCTCAAAATGTACAAGAAGATGCACCGCATCAACCGCAAGGATTTGATGAGCTCGGAGGTAATTTGCTCCGTGAAGTCCAGGATCCTACAGTATGAGAAGGAGCAGCAGCCTCGGGGTCTGCTCCATGGATGGAGCCAGTCTTCCACTGAGGAGGTGCCCCGGGACATGGTACCCACCCGCATTTCGGAATTTGAGAAGCTGATACAGAAGTCCAAGTCCATGCCCAATCTAGGGGATGAGATGCTATCTCCTGTCACTCTAGAACCCCAGCAAAACGGTCTGTGTCCCAAGAGGCGATTTTCTATTGAGTCTCTGCTGGAGGAAGAAACTCAGGGTAGACAGCCTTCTCAGGGTCAGCGGAACTGCAAGTCTAAAACCCTGGTGCCCATCCACATCGAAGTCACCAGTGATGAGCAACCCAGAACACATATGGAGTTTTCTGACAGTGACCAAGATGGTGTCGTATCTGACCACAGCGACTACGTGCATGTAGAAGGGTCATCCTTTTGCAGTGAAAGTGACTTTGACCATTTTTCATTCACATCCTCTGAAAGTTTCTATGGATCCAGCCATCACCACCACCACCATCACCACCACCACCACCGACACCTCATCAGCTCTTGCAAAGGCCGATGCCCAGCCTCTTACACTCGATTTACCACAATGTTAAAACACGAAAGAGCTAAACATGAAAATATTGACCATCCCAGAAGGCAAGAAATGGACCCCGGCCTATCTAAACTTGCATTTCTAGTCAGCCCGGTGCCTTTCCGAAGGAAAAAGAATTTGACTCCCAGAAAACAGCCTGAACAGGCAAAATGCAAAGCCTCTGTAGTCGAGGCTCTGGACTCTGCCCTTAAAGACATCTGTGACCAAATAAAAGCCGAGAAAAGGAGGGGGAGCCTGCCAGACAACAGCATATTGCATAGGCTTATCAGTGAACTGTTGCCAGAGATTCCGGAAAGGAATTCATCCCTTAATGCTCTGAAAAGGAGCCCCATGCACCAGCCTTTCCACACACTGCCTACAGATGGTGCTATTCATTGTCCACTGTACCAAAACGATTGTGGGAGGGTGCCTCACAGTGCCTCTTTCCCAGACGTGGACACAGCCAACAACAGCTACCACGCACAGGACTACAGTAGTACCCTGAGTCTCCAAGGTGGACCAACTTTTCTTTCTTTTTCCCTTGTGGTTCGGCTGCCATCCTCCCCCTCATTCATTACTTCCATCCTGCATCTCATCGCTCCTGAGCTGGGAGACCACTTGACAGTCATTGTGTGTGGCAAAGCCAACCTGTGTGGTGCAGCCATGTCTGACTCGGTAGTTCTCATTTGCCTGTGTGGTATCTGACGTCCATGTGTTGACTGAAAGTAATCATCAACTCATAAGCATTTACTCACTTGAAAATAAAAGAAACCCAAATTTGCCACTGAATATTAGGGCTAAAACAAGTAGGACATTGAGAAGACAAATGAACATCATTAGTGCCTATGTTTGTTTGCACTGATGGTATGCAGCATGTCTCACAAACAGGAGATTAGAATGTAAAAACAGTCTGCTGTTAAAAAGCAGCAGGTTGTATCCGGACATTTTCAGATTAAGATGTGTCAGAATCCAAGTTTCTAACAAAATAGCCATTTCCTTCAGTTATCTAATATCCTGAAGGAATCACCACTCACTTTCAAAAGAATATATCAAGATAAAACTATAACTCAATATCTGAATCCCTAAGATATTTTTTGATTCATTATGAATCAAAGTAAGTAGTTTCACAGCCTTTTCCTTGATTTCTATATTAATGTTAGAACATTGTACCTATTCAAAGAAATCTGTCCTCTCAACATACACACACACACACACACACACACACACACACATATATATATACATATATATGAGAGATAAAGAGAGAGATAGAGCTGTAGCTAGAAGCAACATCTAATTGAAACCCCCTAACTCAATGGATGGGTATTAGTGTAAGTGCTGTTTTGCAATTAAGAAATGGAGGGACAAAGGAGCTAATATTTTCAGTGTTACACAGAGCACAGTAATGGTGAGAAAATATAAGGCCCTATTAACTAAAAATGTATAATATAAAGTATAATTTCTAAGGACAAAAGGAAACCAAATGTTTGTTAATAACTATTGGACAGTTTTGCTTATTAGTCTTTACCTTCACATTAATTTCACTGGACAACATGCTGGAAAACAATCAATTAAAATAAGTAGAGGCTGGAGCAAGGGCTCAGTGGTTAGGAACCCTTGTTTCTTCCTCTTCCTGAGGACCCAGGTTCCATTCCCAGGGTGTCCGTGGCAGCTCACAATTGTCTCTGACTTCAATCCCATGGAACGTAATGCCCATGCTGGCCTCCAAGGGCACTGAACACACATAGTGCACAGACAACATGCAGACAAAATCCCATACACACAAAAATATAATATAAAAAATATATATAAAAAGATATAATGATAAATAAAATAATAGAATAATTATAAATGGAATATTTTATATTATATATAAAATAAATAGAATAATATAATAATGTAATTTATTTGATACATAGAATAATAAGTTTTAAATTCAATTAATTAGAATTTCTTTTTTTTTTTGGTTTTTCAAGACAGGGTTTCTCTGTGTAGCTGTGCGCCTTTCTTGGAACTCACTTGGTACCCCAGGTTGGCCTCGAACTCACAGAGATCCGCCTGCCTCTGCCTCCCGAGTGCTGGGATTAAAGGCGTTTTTCTATCAGTTTCTATATAGACTAAAACAACTTTCATCCAATTTTTTAAACTACCTTCTTCAATTTTCTGATACCCTGATACAATAAGCATAGTACAATATCAAAACATGAGTTTGAAACACTGAAAAAATTATACTGTACATAGTACAATGAAGTACATATACTGTACATAAGTAAAATTTATCTTAATGATTTGTACGATTTAACATATTTAAATTTGTTAAAGTGAAGAAACATTTTTCAAACTTGGACCCAGGTACACAGGTAAAATGCCCTGATACTGCCCATTGTAGGCTACCTTTAGGTACCTTCCCTCATGCAAGTCACTCAACTATGTAAGTTTTAAGAAACTGAGAGGGATATTTGCAGTTATCATTTTCAAGTGTAATTATTGAGACTTTGCTTTAATGTAAACAAGACCTCAATATTTCATAAGTTGCAACTTCATATGAGGTTTTCTGGTTATCATTTTGTTTTCTGAAATAAATAATTTACTTTCTAATTAGTTGACTTCCATATACAATGGAAGGACATAAGGGATATGAAATCTCAATACCCAATAAGTATTTACAAACAGAAAAAGACACACACACACACACACACACACACACACACAAGGGTGGGGGGATATGACCATAGTCTTCTCATGCTCATACTTTATCTTTCATTTCATCATGACTTCTTAAATTGTATTTGGCACAACATTTCTTCCTACAAATATGTTATTTTTAAATCCTTTATATATCTTATAATAATTATATATTGGAACCAAAAAGAATAGAAATATTAAGCTTGATAAATTTGGAGTATGAAAATCCCTACAACTGTGAATCATCTATATCAAGGATTGCAGTGTAATTAATTAGCAGTATAATAATACTACTTTATATATGATTATAATACTTCTGTTACTTGTGTATTTCTTCATTTTCAATGTGTATGTGTGTCTTATATCATTACTTTACAGTTAGTTATGAGTTTTACATCCATGTTCTCACTAGTGACATCTCTCCAAATTTGGGGGTAAAATCATTGCCACCAGGGAAAAGTGGCTAAGCAGTCTCTTTTTAACGAAATGAAATCTCATTCTGGTTCACCTTATCATTTCCAACAGACCATGAGTCCCCTAGAAGTTACTCATCTACTTTGACTGACTTGGGAAGAAGTCTATCACGGGAACGAAGAGGAACTCCAGAAAAAGAGGTAGTTAGTTTAACGGTATCGGAGTGTTTTTAAAGGACCTTCTGAGAAAGCATTTACCAGCTAACTGTGTACCTCAGACCATAAAGACTTCAGCCTGAAGCCTGACAGCAGCAAGAAGAATCTAGAAGCAGGCTTAGAGCCTGAGTTTAGGCTCCAGTTATTCCCAACTTGGGATGCACTTTGGGCAATGAGGCTTTTCTGAGTCTTGGCCTGGCAGCCATGAACTAATAGAGTTCTAATTAGCCTGTTCTGTGTAGGACTGGAAGTTTCTACACAAGTACTTTTTTCACTTTTTTTAATTTATTTTTCTTTTTTTCTTTTAGCAGCTTGATACAGTATAAATTTTTATCTTTTTTTTTTTTTTTTTTTTTTTTTTTTTTTTTTTTTTTTTTTGGTTTTTTGAGACAGGATTTCTCTGTGTAGCTTTGCACCTTTCCTGGAACTCACTTGGTAGCCCAGGCTGGCCTTGA